ATCAAGATTGGTTAGGTTAAGTAAACTTGTTCACACTTAACACAATTGTGTTTGTAGCATATCTCATAGACGAGATGTATTTGGCATCATTTTTACCTGTTTATATCATGGTTTTCAAAATTGGATCAGACAGAAAAAAATTAAATCGAACTGAAAAATCAGAAACCGGTTAGGTAATTGATTCCATTTCACCCTTGGCCAAAAACTGTTTATTTTTTATTAACAATTTGCTGAACTGGGTGTTAAACCATCAACTCAGATAAAACTTTTTGGCCATTTTTTATAATTTTTATAATTTTATTTTATTTTTGAGTTAGAATGAACCATCTGTTTGGACCAAACAGTCAAACTGTTCAATCTAGGAACTGGGGCGGTCCCAGAACTGTTCCCTGTCCAATCCAATTTTAAAAACCTTGGTTTGTATTGATCCACTAAAACATTTTAGTATCGGGTGCTGTTTGGGAGGGCTTTCACGTAGTAACTTCTGATTTTATTAAGTGTGATCCCATTGGTCCAGATTATAATTAACAATGTTTAGTAAAAGCCCGAAAATCCCAAAATAGCTATCTGTTTCACAGAAACGTGGCTTTTTGATGAAGCTTTTTCAATGGCTTCTCCAAAGCAGCAGCTTAATGAAAGCAATTCAACCAAAACTGCAAATTTTATTCGTTTCTATTCGAATTCAAATGGGATCTTATCCATCAGATATCTAGCAGATTGGAACCAAATTCGAATTATAATCAGTATATATATAGTGATGACCATTTCAACTAATGGAGTTATGGCGAAAGAATTCATCAGGAAGGCAGCATTGAAATTTCTGTGTATCCTACTAGATTTTTTCTTTTGTTCCAACTGCTATCCAGTTAAATGCTCTAGAAAATATGATACCGGAAAGGCATAATATCCGAATAGCTTTGATCAATTAAAACATTCCTGTGAATTTTGATAAGGGAAATTGTCAAAAATTCACCATGGGTTTTCAGGATTTTTCTTAAACTCATTACAACTTTTCAAAATGTCTAAAATTCACCATGCCACTTTTGATGTTAAAGAGACTAACGGTTGTTAATATATTACCATTTTAACCTTCATAGAAAAATATAAAATATAAACATATATAAAATATATACATATATTTTAACATTTAAATATGAAAACAAGGAAAAGTTCAAATAATATTTTCAAATATAAAATACATAAAAACATAGAAATTGCAAAAAATATAAAAAACTATAGAAATTGCACACAAAATAAAAAATTATTTTCAAATTATGGAAACTATAGAAATTGAAAAACAAAATCAGAAAATAGAAATTGTAGAATAAACACCAAAAATTATAGAAAAGCACAGAAATTGCAAATAAATAACAAAAAATACAGGAAATTTTATAGGTTGTAGAAAATAGAAAAAATGTAAAAAAACAGAAATTATAAAAATCATTAGAAATTATAACAAAACACTAAAATGTAAAAAAAAAAGAAATTTGAGAAATGAAAAAGACCCTTCTCCTCTAACTCGCCATTCAAGGGTGATTTGGTCATAAAATTGTTATTTATGCTTATGTGAACACCTCTGTTAAGAAACATTAACAGTGCACTAACAGAAGGTGAGTTTTGGAAAATAAAAACTTAGTGACATGGTGAATTTTAGATATTTTGAAAAGTTATGGTGAGTTTAAGAGAAATGCTGAAAACTCATGGCGAGTTTTAGACAATGGGATCTCTTTTATGATATCGGGTGATTGGTTCTAATGTTTTTGGGTATTGTAGTTGAACCCTTATATTTACCGTGTATAAAAGTACTGATTTGTGGTATGGTTATCTTTTAAGTGGAGCCTCTTAAAGGTGGTTCCCTAAACACTTGAGAAGAGAGAGAGAGAGAGAGAGAGGGGAATTTCTACGTGGCAAAAACATTACAAATAGGAACCCTCTAAACATCCTCTTCCTATTTGCTTGAAACCTCTTGCCATGTGGTAGAATTAATCCTTCTTTGGGACATTATTCAATGTTGGTCTCAGCTAGAGATGCAAACGGATCGGATTATATTCGAATTTGGGTATATCAGAATCTGATATGACATTATTAATTACAAATTCCATTCAATCCGAAGGTCCGATTGGATCTCATAAACATTAAAAGAAAAATAAAATATAACAATTTAAATAAAGAAAAACAAAAAGTACAAGTATCTTTTCAACTATTTACATCATATATATACATGTTTTCTATAAAAATAAATAATATAAAAAATTTACAAAAAAGAAATATAAATAATATATTTACAAATAAAAAATAACATATATATTTGTTATATATATTTATACAAATAAATAAATAAGATATATATTGGATTGGATAAGAGGTGATCCAAATTTGATCCAATTTCTGATTAGATCCTAATATTCGACCTGATCTGATCCGAAGATCTGAAATAGGGGTATCCAAATCCAAGAATATATGATCGAATCATGACCCAATCCAAGAATATAACACAATTCAGGAGTGTGTTATAAATTGCAGATAAGGTTCACAGTGGATGATTCCTTTTTATGACAATATTGGGTAAAGGGAGTCTGGATCTGCTCCTTGCACCTACCTTACAAAATGTCATGGCTACACATAGGAAACACTCCCTTATATTTATTATTCATGGAGAGATATTCCCAATACACGGTGGGATGTAGCTGTGAGTTCGGTGTGAGGCGCAGATCCCAATTCGAGTAAGGATCGTGAATGGTCCAACTATCAAGATGATCAATTGACACCCCTCCAAATAGGAGGTTGGGATCAAACCCACAAAAGTATGGGATTTCTATGGTACGGCCAATGGTCCTTGCTCTACACCACCCCTATAATGTATTGTATGAGAGTCACATCAGTTAGAATGATTAGATTTTTCCCCCTTAACCCAAAACGTTTCAAGTTGAAATGGCAAAAGTTCCAAATACAACCAAAGGGGGGACAATTAAAAACCTCTCCACCGGTTCAGTTTTGTTGGTGTTTATTTGCAGTGTGAATCAAGATCAATGCAAAACATCACCACCAGTTCAGAATTATCGGCGTTTGGATGGAGCGAAGTTTTACATTGTGAATCGATGTAAAATATCACCAGTACAGAATTGCCAGCATTTGGAAACATCACTTATAGTGAGGTTTTACATTGATAATCACGTTTTTTGATGCTCAATTCAGAGGTTTCAAACAGTTTGGTGTGAAACTCCATCGATGAGGTTTTACACCATAAACAAACACAGCCTAGAGCTCTAATTGGATCAAATTCGGACTGGACCAATCAGAGCCGAGTTTGATTCACTTAACAACCCCTATACCAAATTGTTAAATTTAATTTACAAATTGACTAGGATTCAGTGGGCGTGAGATCAAATTCAAACAAGAGGTCAGGTTTCATATCTCATCCAAGACTAATAAACTAAAAGCTCAGAAAAAAAAATAAGAAAAAGCACTCATAATTCTTTGCTTGATAAAGCGCAATTTCTGATCTAGCTTTCAGTTTCTCACCTGTATTGGCATTTTCTGGGTAGTTAATAAGGGCAACATTATTCTAAGAAGGTGGGAAGATGATGTTGCAAGTGGGTTTCTCTTTTACTGGTGGCTCAGTTGGTAGGATCTTGACAAGTCAAAATAAATATTTGCGATCAAATCCGGCTGCCACCAGGGTTGGGGGTTAAAAGAAGGGCCGGGATGGGCTACTCGGCTTGTTCCATGAAATAATAAAAAAGTGGATTTCTTTCCTTTACATGCACCTTCCTTTCTCAATCAAGAAAGAAAAGATTATATGATCATCAAATGTGGGATTGATCATTGACGTTTATAATTAAAATATCAAATTGTAGTTTTGTTTATCCAAGGATAAAATCTAATTTTTTTAACAGAATTGATTCTCATCACATATCTTTCATCAATTTGTATTGATCAATCCAAAATATTTCAAGTACAAATGACAATACCATCAAACCCAAATAATAAAATATTCAGATTCAACATGCGCTTCAACTGTTATGAAATGGTCATCAGTCTTGCATGTCTTACATGACTGGGGCTCTTCTTATATGGACTGCAGGTTAATGAAGTATGAAAAGGTTCTTCTGAGGTGGATATATAAGAATGCCAAGTTGCCGATGTTTGAGAGGTTATTTAACACTTCAATTTACTTGTATATACATGGCATGATATGTCATCATGTGAAGACTTAGTACCATTCATGGATTCATGGTTTATGGGTCTTTAATATATTACCATTCACATGCTGTTGGTTTTGTAATTTGGTGGATATATTAAGCTTTTTAAGATTAATTAATTCTAATAAATATTAACTAACACCCATATGACATTGAATAATTTACGCAATATATAATAAATCTTTATCAAGTGTTTATTAGATATTAATTAAGGATCAGTAAACAAGTTTTAATCCATAATCCTTTGTCATGTGTAGTTTTATAAAATAATAAAAGAAGTTGAATGGGTATTTCCTCTCTCACATATATATGCACAATACTTTTAGAGAGAGAGAGAGAGATTCCAACTTAGTAATCGCTTATCTTTTTCCCTGTCTTGGTCCATTGAAGTTATTTATTAGCTCAGGCTAACATTAATATAGATTATCTTTCATCATTTCTTTTTTTAATTAATATTCAATAGTTTTCATTCTTTCTGAGATAAGACCCAGGTTAATTTTTTAACTTTTCCTCTGTCTTGAGAATTTAGACTATATCTTTAACACATTGAATCGTTTACTGTCCAAATCAAAATCCGATTCAATTGTCACCCCTAAATAACAAACTTGTTATTGTACGGACTACAGCAAATAATCAACCAAGTTATTCATTTATTTATTTCAACTTCATGGTCGGGAGTTTCAAGCCATGTCACAGTCAATTAATTAATTTGCTCCCCAAACAGAGAAATAAAATACCTAATGGCGTCAAATGTTGGCCCACAATTTGCAGCAAAAAATAAATAAATAAAATAAAATAAAATAAGAAAAACAAGTGGAATAGTCTGGACAAGTCAAGTCTGCCCCATTTTTCCCTCGTCTCGACGAAGAATTACATATTAATAAATCATCAAAGCCCTTAAATGTGGCTGATAGCTATGATTTTTCATCTTTATGTGCGCAGCCATGTCCTGTGTGCTGAAGCTTTTACCGTTTATTTTGCTACTCTACCTCAACCATGCATCTGCTCAAGCTCAGGATGGTTTCATCTTTTATGGGTTCGATAACAAATCCTTGGAGCTAAATGGTAACGCAACAGTCGGAGACACTGGCTATATCCGACTGACTCACAGCGATGGACCCTTCTACCAGAAGGGCCGCCTCTTCTACTCTCTCCCCCTCCAAATCAAGAACTCCTCCAATGGTAGCGTTTTCTCCTTCTCTACTACTTTTGTTGTTGCATTCACTAAGAGCTCCCAAGCAACTGGCGATGGAATGGCTTTTGTCATCTCCCCTACCAAAGATCCTCCTGGAGCCATGCCCAGTCAATTTCTTGGTTTGTTCAATATCACCACCAACTTGAATCCAAACAGTCATATTGTTGCCGTCGAGCTGGACACGATCCAGACCCCAGAATTCAGTGATATCGACAACAACCATGTTGGAATCGACTTTAATGGCTTGATCTCCAACGTATCTGCTACAGCAGGATATTATTCTGACGATAATGGGGGTGGGCTTACGAAATTATTGTTCCTGAGCGGAGATCCACTGCAGTTATGGGTAGAATATGACGGTGCCGAAACGCAACTTAATGTTACAATTGCTCCTGCCGTGGCGACCATGACCAAACCCAAACGTCCTCTCTTGTCTTTGAAACAAGATCTTTCAGAGTTTCTCTTGGAGGAGATGTACGTGGGCTTCTCTGCATCTTTCGGGGCTATTCGATCAGATCATGACGTATTGGCTTGGAGCTTTAAGATGAACGGACAGGCTGAATCCCTTGATCTGTCACGGCTGCCTACGCTACCAAGCGGCCCAGGGAAGAAGCCACCAGTTTTGCCGATTTCGTTGCCCTTTGCTGGAGTTGTTGTTGGGTTATTGCTCGCCTGGCTAATCGTTTTCATTGTGAGGAAGATAAAGTACAAGGAAGTGCTCGAAGATTGGGAGGTTCAGTATGGACCTCACAGGTTCTCTTACAGGAATCTCTTTCTTGCCACCAATGGATTCAAAGACAAAGAGTTTCTGGGGAGAGGCGGTTTTGGTCGGGTCTATAAAGGGGTGCTGCCCAAATCAAAGATTCAAGTTGCAGTGAAGAGAATTTCGCATGATTCAACCCAAGGAATGAGAGAATTCATCGCTGAGATCGCAACCATCGGCAGGCTCCGCCACCCAAACTTGGTCCGACTACAGGGCTACTGCCGGCGTAAAGGCGAGCTCCTCTTGGTTTATGATTTCATGTCCAACGGCAGCCTCGACAAATTCATTTTTGATCAACCCAAGTTGACACTAAACTGGGAACAGAGGTTTAAGATCATCAAAGATGTGGCTTCTGCACTCCTGTATCTCCACGAACAGTGGGTGCAGGTTATCATCCACAGAGATATTAAGGCCAGCAATGTGTTATTAGACAGTGAAATGAATGGAAAGTTAGGAGATTTTGGCCTTGCCAAGCTCAGCGAGCAAGGAGTCGATCCTCAAACTTCCTATCTGGCAGGCACTCCAGGCTATATTGCACCGGAGCTTGCCAGAACCGGCAAATCTAGCACAAGCACCGACTTGTTTGCATTTGGCACATTTCTGCTCGAGGTGGCCTGCGGAAGAAGACCGGTGGAGCTGCAGGAAGAGCCGGAGAAAGTGTTCCTGGTGGACTGGGTGACGGACTGTTGGGCGAGGGGAGCCATTCTGGGGACTGTGGATCCGAAACTGGGGGAGGAATTTGTGGCGGAGGAAGCCGAGTTAGTGCTGAAGCTTGGATTGCTTTGCTCACACCCTTTGGCCGAGGCTAGGCCGACCATGTCTGCCGTGGCACTGTATTTGGAGGGTGAAGTTCGCCTGCCGGAGGATTTCAGTGCAAAGTCTATAGCGGAGGAGAACAAAGGACGGACCAAAGAAAGGGCTGAGTTATTTGGTTCTCCTTTGTCGGAAAGGGAAACCATCCCAATGTTAACACTCACAGAGAAATTCACCTCTAGCGGCCGTTGATGACCTCTGGGCATGTATGGCCTAGCTGGTAGATAAATAGAACTGAGTTTTGCTTCAGAGCATTTTCTGTAATTAATTTAGTTTGATATTTTCACTTTGTTTTGTGAATTTGGATGTTGAGATTTATGATTATAGAATCACAGACACTGATCTATGGCTTCGAAGATCTAAATGAGTCTTTTTTTTTTTGTTGGAAAGATCTAAATGGGTCTAACTCTACCCCATTCTCACCCTTTTCACATAGTATGATCAAGCTTTAATTTTCACATAGACACATACATGGAAGGAAAAGAATGAGAGCAAATCTTGAGGTAATTTTGGATTAGAATTTGAGATGATTTTTGGCTATCCTGGTCATCCTAATCCATCACAGCCACAGATTATGGGTCCTGTGTCCCCAGCCCAAAATTGAGTCTATCCTGTGGAATGGTGGAAATTAATTAACAGGCACTGACGTGTTGAATACTCCCTACATATGGACCACTCATGGATCACAAGAGGTGGTTTCTGGTTCTTATCTGCAACGGTAACCACAGAAATTGAAGTTAATGCACTTTGGACTTGTGGGCCTGCTGGGTTCAACCAGTTATCAATTCGATCAATTTACCAGTCGATTGCACCCCTTTTTTGAATGACTTCGATCAAGTCTAGAAATATAAGAGATGTTCTTCTAAGGTGAGGTCAAATTTGACGATTAGTCTGTAATTTGGGTCTAAAACCACGTTCCTCTTGGGCTAGAAGCAGCTCTCTTTGGTTTGCCTTCTACGAGGCCAAGTTTTATATTGTCTTTGTCGAATAAACAGTTGAAAACAAGAAAATTATAAGTTTAAATAATTTGTAATTTTATGAATATATAATTAATTATAGGAGATAATTACTAGAGAAATATTTATGACCTAGTATTTTCTAAATGCCAAAAAAAAAATACGACTAAAAGGGGCAAAGTGATAAATTGATATTGGGAAGAAATATAATGTAAATTGATGCCCCTAAAAAAAGAAAAATAGTGTGAAGCTGCAAATTAGGGTGTAGTAGTTCTCAAGAAAAAAAAAAGAAGTTAATTTATGTGAAAAAAGAGGAGAGATTGAGGGTATTCAAGTAAAATCATATATATCTGATGTAGATTTGGTTGCCAATGTTGACCTTTGGTATGGTAGAACAAAGGAAAGAATATGTGGTGGGAAGAAACCCCAAGAGTTCAAACTATAATAGATTAATTTATTCTTCTAATTTTCTTACCTATGTGAGGACAAATGCCTCTTAAGGTTTGTTAGCTGGGAATTTAGCTTCTTCTTCTTTGGATTATTTAAAGGCTGCAATTAAGGATGCATTAACCAAGGTGTCAGTTCATGATTTATGAACTGGAAATGCAGCTTAATTTCATTTTTAATTTGTTCTTTTATTAAGAATTAATGTAGAAAACCCCAGATACTCTCCATAACCAGCTCCAGGCCTTGTTGCTTCCTTCCAAAGAAAACAAAAATGAATTGAAATAGATCATCTAACCTACATGATCTGAAAAGTCCTCTCTTTCTCTCTGCATAACTACCTCGTGGTCTTCATTCTTGAAAGAAAAGACAAAAGAAAAGAAGTTGAAATAGATCATCTTAACCCCACATGAGTTGAAATCTCTCTCTCTCTCTAAGTGGATGCATGGTGTGTATCTCATGTCGGTAGACAGCCAAAGGATTTCATCAACTAACTAAAATTTTCTTTGTCCTGGCATTGCTTCTAGATCATAAGAAACACTTGGAAATGAACATCAGTGATGACCTGGCGGTGACTTGTGACTCAACCCGAGACAACCCAGAATCTCATTGGGTCGGGTTGGGTCATACCACATTCTAGTTCAGGCGGGTGACTGTACGTCGAGGACCCCAACCAGCATTTTCGGGGTAAAGTTCATAGGTTGGATCTACATTTTGCCTGGTCTAGAACTATTCAGGTGACTGTTTGGCAGTAGGTTTGGGCCGGGTCAATAGGTTGGATCTACATTTTGCCGGGTCTAGAACTCTTCAGGTGATTGTCTGGCAGTAGGCTTGGGCCGGGTCAATAGGTTGGATCTACATTTTGCAAGGTCTAGAACTCTTCAGGTGACTGTCTGACAGCAGATTTGGGCTCTCCAATTTTTTCACCAAATATGGCTTATAGCTTTATAACTGAGAACCATGGTTTTTAAAAACGAACCAGTGACTGAACTGGTCAGGGTCTAGTTGCCAGTTCGAACGGTCTGACCGTTCGACCAGAACGGCGAGCCTGTTCTGACAAAAAAATGAAAAAATTAAAAAATTGGAAAACGGTCAAAACCATTCAAACAGTTTGAACGATTAACCAGCCAGTTCAGCGGTTTGCTGACCACAATCAATGGTTTTGGAGGAAAACGGAACCGATCAGGTAACCGGTTCCCGGTTTTTCCAGTCCGACCCTCCGGTCCGGTCCGGTTTTGAAAACAGTGCTGAGAACATCTCCCATGAATGATGAGATGTTCCCAATGTATGGTTACACTGCCGTATTTGGATCAACTACCAATACAGGATGCCAAGAATGTCCCAACCGACCATTGTATAACAACAACATCTCCCCATGAGGCCATGAATGACAAGAGAGATGTTCCCAATGTGGGACTGCAGTGGCTTGTGGGGACAGGATTGGTAGCGCTTGTTGGTAGCAGATCCCTGCCCATTGAGGGGGTGTTCTTTTTCTGGNGTTGGTCAATGAGATTTTTGTTTTCATTGATCAAGAAAGTCATGTTCTTTTTCAGATTTATGTGGGGATCAAGGAAAATTTATTTTCCTGGTACCACTTACCTAGGTAACTGATTCCTATCTCTTAGGTGGGTAAATAAATTTCCCACTTGGGGGAAAGTTTCCAACAATTAAATGGAATTAGACTTTTATGGCTAAAATGGTCATTGCCTTATTTACATGGGAAATAAAAGAACATGAGTAAATACACTTACCCGGATAAATAACTTTTCGAAAAGCGAACGAAGCCTAAAAATATATTAGTACACTTTTGCTGGCAGCCGATCCAGGCTGGCCATGTTGCTGCTTTTGCAAGGGCTGAAGCTTCCATTGAACTGCTTTGGAGAAGCCAATGGAAGAAACTTCAATGGACAATTACTTTCGGCTGAATAACTGTAAATTTGGGCTTCCGGATTTTGCACCAAACATTGTTGCTATCTGGGTAAGGCCACCTCACAAAGCCAAAAGTTTCGACTGGAAAGCCTTCCCAAACGGGCACTTAATGGGAGGGCCCATCTTCACTATTGATCAGCCACATTTACATGGCTTTCTGTTGAAGCTTCTTTTAATCACTTCTTCAAAGCAGCCTAGCTCAAGCATTTCAACCAAGCTTAAGCCCTTACAATGGGGTTTTAAGTTGTGTTACTCCAACCAGCTTTAAATCCTCACTCATAACTTTTTTCACGATGAGTTTACATAGGCGCCTTTATGCATTCTTATTGATTCATCTGTTCGAAATTTTGAATAACTTGTGTTGTCAAAGCAATGACTTGTTACTTCTTACAGCATAATACATTGATCACTCAGGTGTTTGTTTGTAATTGGAGTGTATTGTTCATTTCATTGAGATGGGATTAGTTGAACACTTTAGCTGTTCAGCAGGCTGTGGAATCAATAATAACACTCATACCAGTCACAATATACATGGGCCCACAATCATCCAATCTCTCAGTGTGAGCCTTATATATTGTATCACTAGTGTGGAGCACTATCATTGGTTCTACAGCCTGCTAAGCAGCTTAACCTTCAGCTAATCCGAATTCCATTTCATTAGGGGTGAGCATTTGGTTTATTCAATTAAAAGATGAATCAAATGAACCAAAATTTTGAAAATTAAAATTACAAAAAAAAACAAATTACAACAAAAACTAAAATTTTCGGCTCGATTTTTCAATTTAACCGTTCACACATCTTTTCTGTAGCAGATCCAGATTGAACTTTGATGAAAAAGCCAACTTCTCCTTTTCTAAAAGGAGGAAAATCTCCATCTCACAGCACAACGAAAAAGAGCATTACCCTCTTTTGTAAAAGAAGCGAAAGTGAACTCCACTTAGATGAGTGAGGCCTTGAAGAGGCTCCCAACCCTTTAAGCAGATTTCTAGTTTTGATTAATTTTCAAATTCAAACCCATTACAAACTGGGTTCCAATCCTTAAAGCAGGGGACACATGGCAAATTACAAGCCTCAAACCACAAGTCTTATAACGCCAGATGCAAAAGATTTACAAATGTAAATTATTTTGTTTTTAGTTATTTTTGACAAATTCCTACTTCTACGAGGCAATACAAGCTATCATTTGGTACTTTGGTTTTTTGTTTTAGATATCTTTTTCTTTTAATTTTTGGGTAAAGGTCCAAAATCATTTAGTAGGATAAGCAAACAAATGGGTCCATGTATGTAGGGACTTGAAGACCAGCAGCAAGCTAAAAGCCCAAATTGGAAAGCAAGAGAATTCTAACTACAGATATGAAAATAAAACAAAGCAAACAAGGGATTTTATTGATAGAGCGTCATTTCCTTCAATTAGCTTCCATTTTTGGGTAGTTAATGCGGCAGCAATCATTCTGAGAAGGTGGAGAGAAGGTTTTGATGAAAGGGGGCCACAGGCCATTTTTGGTCTCCATGAACTTACCTTTCTCCACTAAGAGTGACAATTATAACATCAACTTCCTGCTAATTTAGAAGTTATTGGTGATTAATGCATTTTACCGTTGCCATTTGCTCATGCCTAATATGATTTAAGGATTTGTTAAAATTTCAATTGGGCCACTCTTTTTTTAATGGCAGGCAACAAGAGAAATGTTACTGAGAGCATTTGTGCAAGATTTGGCACGATTTTGAGTCAGCCTAGAATGACGGAGTGTGAGTCGTGTCGGGCGTGAGGTTTCAGGTCCATGGGCTGGCATGACACAATATGATTGTGCAGTCGGCATGGCAGCACAACCAGCACGACCCTATATATATATATGATAAATTTCTTAAACTACCCTTATGGTTTAGTTAATTGACTAAGTGTACCCTTATTGTTTGAAAATTGACTAATGCTACCCCTATTGTTTCTGACAATTGACTAATACTTCCCTTACCTTTAGTGCCCGTTAACAGAAAGATAAAAAGACTATTTTACCCTTTTCTTTTTCAA